CCGCCGCCCGCCGAGCAAGCGCCCCGGGCCCGGGCCTTGGCGCCCAGGTAACTTGGGGGGCGCGAGGCGGGGAGGGGGCCTAGGCCGCGCCCGAGCCCGCGAGACCCTCGGCGATTCCAGCCCGGGAACTCTCCAAGCCCGTGGGACCTACCTACCCCGTCGGCGGAGGGGCCCTCGGGGACCCGCCCGTAAAAGCGCCCCCCGGGCCGCCCCCCACCACCACCACCCGGGCCCCTGAAACTCTCCCCGAGCTCCACCTACCCCAGCTCTCCCCTCCAGTGGAGCCCAGGTCGGGGCCTGCCCTCACCCCTGCCCCACACCAGCCGTCGGAGATGCCCAGGCCCCTGTGCTCGCTGTTCTGGGCCTGCCATCCCCAAGGGGATATCCCAGCCCATCGCAGCCCCCATCCTCCCCACTTTCCTGCTCCCCATGGCCTGCTCTCAGCTCCCCCAAATTCCAAGAGACTTCTCTACCCCAGCTGCTCACTGCCCACCCCCACCTGCAAGTGGTTGCTATCCTACAACTTAAACTCATGGCCAGCTCCCCTCCTTTCCTTGAACCTTCCTCCCCTGGCCCTGGGGGGCTGCCCACCTTCCCCGCTGGAGCCCCCAAGGCCCTGCTTCCAGTTAAATGCTTTTTGTCACTGCAAAGAGGGATGTGCAGAGGCTGAGCACCTGGGTGATGTGGGCAGAGCAGGGCCTCTGTGCAGGCCAGTCCCAAGTTGTGGGTGCAGGGCAGTTGCCAGGATACTTGGATGGAGCATTTGGGGTTTAGGGGGCTGCAAGTCAAGGGCAGTGAGAGAGGCCCAGCAAGATTCATGGCAGTGATTAGAGGCTGGTCTTGTTTAGTGCAGATTCTTTTCCAGCCGCTTGCAGAGAGATGGGGCTCAAGCGCAGGCCATTTCTTCCCCCCTTCCAGGATGGGTTGTCAGGAGCTGGGCCCCCTCCCACCCAGTTGCTTGCCTCTGTGTGCTTGGGTGCTGCCTACTTTTCAATCTTCCTTCCTGGGCAGGGCCCCCTACAACTCTGACCAAGGAGGGGGCAGCCTGGCCAGGCCTGGATGCAGTGTCAGCGGTACCCTCTCCCCTGAGGCAGCTTTAACTCACCTGGGTCTGGGCCTGGCTGGTTCACCAGGACCAACAGTTTGCTGGCCATGACAGCCCTGTGAAAGCCCTGGGACCCAGGGAAGTGGGAGCCCATCGCTACTTACAGGCCTCCGGAAGCTGAGCCGGGTCCTGCCAGGTGGATCTGAGTGGTGGTGGGAGGGAGGGTGAGGAGGACAAGTCCTGTAGACAATATATGCTTTCAGTCCCCAGTTACTGAGCACCTACTCTGCACTAGGCACCAGCCTGTGCCCTGGGATGGAGCTATATATAACTAGACAGACAAGGCACTGATGTTCTAGAGTGTTCTAGGAGACAGAGAGTGGCCAAGCAGCAAAGGAAGAGATGAGGGAACAAGACAACCCTATAGTGATGTGTGTGATGGAAGACAGTGGGGCTGGATGGAGACTGACTGGCAGGCTTCTTTGGCCAGGGTGGTCAGGGAAGGCTTCTCGGAGGAGGTGACGTTTGAGCTGAGACCTGAATGAGGCGATAGAATGAACCTTGGACCGTCTGAGGGAACAGTGTTGTAGGCATGGAACAGCAAGGGAAGGATTTAGGCATGTTGAGGAACGGATAGAAGGCGCCCATGCATACATTGTAGGGGGAGATGAGGCCAGAGCCTTGGGCGAGGGACCAGGAGAGAGCAGGGTGGCATTGTGTGCCAGCATAGCATCACTTTCCTGACTTAAGGGCCCAGGACACCGTGGCTGTGCAGATGTTCCCTCCTCCCTCTGTTCCTTTCTGTCCAGATCTGTCTTTGCCACCCACCTGGGATGAGACCTGCCGTGTTAGGGGCGGTGGTTCCCCGTGGGGGGGTTTGCAGGGGTGGAGGCAGAGGGTAGGATGGGGGAATCCTGTCCTGGCCCCTGATAACCATCACGCTGGGGGAGAGAGGGCCCCAGTACAGGTGATGGGAAATGTCCCTGGTGCCGGAGAGAATCCTGCCGATAGCATCTTTGCCAGGGGGTGAGATGGCGAGATGACAGCGGGTGCAGGTAGGGCTGTCCCTGAAGCCCTGATAGGATCCTATCTGTCCTGGGGTGGGGGCGCCCAGCCAGGCAGGCAGCCGCTCCTGCTCAGCCATTACTTTGCCGACTGTCCGGGAGCCAAAGCCCCCAGGCAGAATCCACGTGCAGGGAGGCCGTGCTTTGAGCCACTGCCCTAGGGGGCAGGTGGGCATGGGCCCTGTCCCCGCCGCTCTGCTGGGCACCAGGGAGTCTCTGTGTCCTTGCCCCGCAGGACCCCTGCCCTTCCTGGGGAGAGCTGGGGAAAGGGCCCTCTCTAGACAGGAGTCCTTAGTGGCCTGGCTCAGGGTGGGTCCTATGTCTGGTTGAGCGGCCATGTTGACGCCAACCTGGGAGGGGGGAATGGGGGGCCCTGCTGGGCACTCTGCTTAGCTTTTCTGGGTGTTCGGAGCTGAGCTCCCAGGCCCGAGACCTCAGGCCTTGCAGGAGTGGGGCATTCTTCCCGGCCGCGGGCGGGCTCGTGAGAGGCAGAGCAGGTGGGAGCTCAGCAGTGATGGGGAAAGTGGCCTCAGCCCTGTTCCTGGCCTTCCGAGCAACACGGAGCCACACTCACTCCCCGCCAGGGCCTCCCTCTCCAGCTTCACGCTTTGCAGTCCCTCAGGGGGGGTGTGTTCGTGCTGGGTACCCGCCACGCCTGATCCCGCTGCCCGTCAGAATTGTGGGTCCACCTGTTGGCCTTTCCCCCTCCCTCCCTTACTCCCCTTTGCTGTACCCTTGTGGCTCCCAGGCTGGGCCTTGGTCTTGCAAACTCCATTAGGGACTGAGTGTGGCCAGGTGAGCCGCCAAGCCCTTTGCCACCCAGGCTTCCCGTGTCAGCTTGCTCTTCCGCTGGTTTATTTCTGCGGGGCTGACTCTAGGGCCTGGGGCGTGGGCCTGTGCACAGACAGACACGGCAGTGCTGCTGAGAGCTTGGCATCGCAGTCGCTTGGGAAGGTAGCCGGTCGATGGAGCCGTGACAAGGGGCCTGCACTGGGCAGGTGGAAGGCTTGGTTATGGTGGTTTCACAGCCTTTAAAAGTTTTCAAGGCGGAAGCTCTGGGTCCCAAGTGGGCAGACAGATGCCCATGGATTTATTTCCTCTTTGAAAGTAGATGGGGAAACGGAGGCACAGAAGTGAAGTGGGTACCTAGAGCCGCCAGGCCGCTAGATTCACATTCCTGGCTGGGCCACATCCCAGATTGCCTTGAGTGAACCCAGAGGCCTTGTGGCCAGTGGCTAGCCTGCCGTCATCTTGGAGGGGAATTTTACGGAGGGGGGTCCTCGCCGACTTTCCAGTCTCTGCCGGCCAGAGCCCAGGTGTGGCAGGGCTGCTTGGGGTCAGTGCTGGGGAGGGGAGCCTAGACCAGACTTTACAGGCGGAAAGCAGAGCCCTGGGGTGTCCCATCTGGGAGGGTCTTGGACCCCAGGGGGCTGGGCTGGCGGGAGTGAGTGGGCAGGGAGGCAGCTGAGGGTGTGCTGAAGAGGCCGTCAGGGGCAGGTAGGCTGGGGGAGCATTGCCCTCTCCGCCCCTCCCCTTGTTTGTGTGTGCCCACTGGGGTAGGCCCATCTGTTCCTTGTTAGGGACTCAGCAGACAGTCCTTCGGGAGAGGAATTAATGCCACGTTGCTGGCAGATCCAGCAGCACGCCGGCCCCAGGGCTTCATCCTGACAGCACAGACACCCAGCGGACCCCAGAAATGGTGCTGCGCTCCCGCCTAGCAATCCTGGAGACACAGGGGGCCGTGTTGCTGCGCCTGGGGGGCAGAGAGGGCTTCGGTGCTGGTAGGCAGCCGGAGGTGGCCACAGGACATTCCCACCCCCGCTGGGCCTGCCTCCATCACCCGCTCCGAGACTTCTCATTCATTGTTGGCTGCGCCCTAGACTTGCTGTGTGACCTTAGCCATGCTGCTTATCCTTTCCGGGCAACTTTCTTTTCCCCATCTGTAGAATGGGTATGTTGGACCGCGTCATTGCTGAGACACCCCCGCCTCCCCTAGTCTGCGTCCCAGCTATGTGTTTATCTGCCCGCTTCTGAGCGGCCCTGCTGGCATCCCCCTTGGTGCTCCTCATGGCTCTCTAGCTGTGTCCTCACCCCCAGGGCCGGGTGACTGCTGGTTCTCTCTGTAATTAACTCCCGCCCATGCTCAGGACGTGGGGCACTGCAGCGCCCGCGCCCCTGCAGACCAGCCGGTTTTCCTAGCATAGTGCCAGGCCGAGGTGACTGCCTCCACAGTGGCCACCTCCAGCCGGCCCAGCACATTCCTCAGGCTTATCTGGGGGCCCGCCCCGCCCCGCCGGACTCTGCCCTCCCACCCAGGAAGCAGCACCCAGAGGAGCTGCTGAAGAGTTCCAGGGGCCGGGAGGAGGGCCTGAGTGGGCTTGATTCGCAGCCTCCCTCCTGGGGCTGGAGAGAACCAGGTATAGAATGGGGTGGGGCAGAGGGGTCTACTGAGACTGACAAGGCAGATTGTCCTGAACGAACCTCGGGGAGTGGGGGGTTCACTCAGACCCCAGACTGTGCCATCTCCTGGGAGCCCCCGCCTCCCCACTCTTGGAAGGCTCTCCCCTGAGGTTCCTGGGCACGGGAGGGGGCCTGGCCCTGGGCCAGTCACCCTAAGTCTGCTCCAGAGTTGTAACGGGAGATGGGACACGGGACCGCAGCTCCCGGGCCACCTCCCTCTGTCCCCAGCTCCACAGTGGGAGCCAGCGCCAGGTCTGCCAGGAAGGGGTTAACCGCCAGCCCCCGCCGTGAGGGAGGGGACTGGGCTGGACCATTTTCCTCGCCGCGGCCTCCACCTCGGTTTTCCTGAATGGTTCTGCCGTCCCGGGGTGGGGAGGGGAGGGAAGGAAGGAGGGCGGGCGGGTGGAGGGAGGGAGCAGTGTGGGAAGAGGAAGGAAAAAAAGAGCGAGACAGCCAGGGGAAGAGAAAGATGTCACTGTCTAATCTCCCTGTCATTCTTCTTTCCAAACGGCGCCGGGCAGAGGAACTGCTAGAACAATGCTGAGGCGGGCGAGGTGAGGAGCGGCCGGCGCGGCCCCGCCGACGGAGCGTCTGGAACAGGTGATAGGAGGATCCGGAAACCCAGGCCGCCTGGGCAGCCCTCCCCGCGCCCGGCCCGGCTACCCGGCTGGGCACGGGGGGGGAGACCATGGCGACCAATTTCAACGACATCGTCAAGCAAGGCTACGTGAAGATGAAGAGCAGGAAGCTGGGGGTGAGCCGCCGGGAGGGGGGGGGCGGTGCCGGCCGGGAGCCCGGGGTGGGGGAGCGGGGGGGGGGGGGGGGGGGGGTGCCCGCGGGGCCGGCGTCGCACACTCGTGGTCTCGAGGTTTGTGGCCGGCGGCCGCCCGGCATGTGCCGCCTGCGCACCCCCCCCCCCCCAAGTCGGCTGTGGCCGGCGTCCCAGCGGCTGGGCCAGCGGTGGCCGCCGACGGGCAGGCGGCTCCCCTGCCATTGTTGAAGTTGTGGCCCGGCCGGCGGCTGCGGGGCCACGTCGGAGCGGAGACCCGCCTCCCCCGGCCCCGGCCGCCTCCCGGCCTCGCCTCCCCGCGTCTCCCCTCCCCTCGCCTGGCCTCTTTTCTTTTAAGTCCGTTGTCTCCCCCAGCCGCCCGTGGCTTTCTGTGTGCAGCTCCTTCGGTATTTATTTTGGTTATTGCTCTCACTGTTAGAGAAGTGTTGGGAAAGGAGAGTGGTCGCCGCGGGGCAGGGCAGTGGTGGGAGGGCGCAGAGGGTGCAGAAGCTGGTATTCATGTGGCTTATGAATGGGAACTTAGTGCAGGATGGCCAGTGGCTCTGGGACAGGCTGCTTTCCTCCCAAGTTGTTGGCGGTGGCTCCTTGCTCGCAGGGTGCTTGGCCCAGAGCTGGGGGCTCAGCGGGTCTGTGGGGATGAGGCCTCAGACACACCTCTTCCGCCCGCCCCCGGAGGGCCTGAGCAGGGGCTCCGGGGACCAACTTAATGATCTCGGTGAGGTTGTCCAAGAGCTGCCTCTCTTCCCCTGCCGACCCTCCCCCACCTCCAATGCAGGGCCCTGGTAGCCGCACCCTCCCCAGTAGGAAGGTAACCCTCCCGACGGAGTTGGCCCAAGTCTGTGTTTCCCGCTACCCCCCTTCCCTGTCTCTCTCTTCCTCCGCTCCCCCATTGCCCTGATGGGGGTGGGGTGGGATCAGAGTGCTCAAGGCTTCCTGGCTCAGCCTGAGTGGGGTGGGGGAGGAATAGAGCTCTGATATGGCTTCCCTGCCTGGATACCAGACTGAACATGGCTGGCCTTAGAGCTCCGGGTGGTTCTTGCCCCTCCTCCCCTTCTGTGGCCCTGTGGGCCCCTGTGGGGTGTGTTCTGTCCAGGCCGAGTGCAGTGGCTGAGCTGTGGGCATGTCGGGAGGCTTGGCTGGATTTGAATTTGTATCCCAACCTGGGTTCCAGCCCGGGAGACGGGGCCCTGGTGGGCATCAGCCACCTTGCTGTTGTGCTGAGAGAGGGATGGAGCCCACCTGGCGCACAGAACAAGGAGAGAAGCTGAAGCTGAGGTGGGGGCCCAAGGGAGTAGGGGCCCAGCTTCTAGTATGGCTCCTTGTTCCTGTGGGCCTGGGTCTAGCTGGTCGCCAGGGGCGACCTGGGCCAAGGCCCTGTACTGGCCAGAGCTTACCAGAAAGGCAAGCCCCTTGAGGCAGCCACTTGGGCTCAGTATCGGACCTGTTCCAGGAGGAGACCTGGGAACCAAGTGGCCTACAGGTGGGCACAGCGAGGGGCTGGGAGCCGGGGTGTGGGCTGTGGCCAGACCCAATTTGGGTCTCCCTCTCTGCCTGGGGGATTCAGCTTCCCCCTGCAGGTCTGATGTGAGGGGCTCAGTCACCCAGGCATCCTTGTCCCAGGGCGGCCCTTCTTGTCTCAGCTCACAAAGGTGAGGTGGGAGGGGCGGAAAGAGATGGGGGCAGACCCTTCTCCCCGCCAGTGCCTTCCTCTGGCAGAGCTATGGCAGAGTTCAGGAGTGCTGATCAAACACCATGAGAAGTGGGGAAAGCGGGCTCTTGAGCACAGTGGCTCCCTGGGGCTGTGCGTGCGTGTGTGTGTGTGTATGTATGTGTGTGTGTATCTATCTGTAACCAGGCAACCAGGGTACTCAGGCCCCTGGGCCTTCTGCCCCAACGCCGCAGGCTGCAGGGTGCAGGCTGCACGGAGCCCAAGCTGGTAGGCCATATCAGGGCCGGCTGCCTTCATTCACTGGTCCCTGCGTTCATTCGCGGGCTCTTCGTATGGTTATTCACTTGTTTAGCAGAGCTGTGCTAGCAAGGTTACCAGGATAGGAGGGCAGATTCTGAGAGGAAAACACAGTCTGTCCTAGAGGAGCTGCCCCGCGGAGAGCTGGAGCTGCTGTGGTTTAGGTGGCGCCAGGGCCATGCAGACGGGGGCAGACATGCCTCCTAGAGCCCCAGATAGGAGCCATTAATGGTTCTGAGTGGCTTCCTGGCATGGGGACCTGGTGGCCGCATGGCAGAGCGGGCCGTGGAGGGGCTGCGGGCTTGGAGCTGTGGCCCCCTTGCTTCCTCTGCTCTGGCTCCCCTCAGGCTCCCCTCAGCCTCCCTACGGTTGCCAGTGAGAGGGTGAACCGGAGATTCCTTGGGAATGGGCTGTGCCGGGCTTCTGGAGTGCTCGTTGACAGAGTAGGTGCATCCCGGCCAGACTCTGGGCTGGAAGAGAGCCTGGGATTGAGGGCGCTGGGAAGGAAAAGTCAGCAGCCTGGGCAGGTGGCTGGGCCTCCCCTCAGGGGCTTTGCCAAGCCGGTTTGCCCCTGGCTCCTTGCCGGTCAGGAGGAGTGCATGAAGCTACAGAGAATGTAGGCGGTTTCAGGCACAGGGTCATTGGTGGGGTTGGACAGGAGGGAGCCGTGCCTGGGAAGGCCCCGTGCTCTGGGTGACCCCAGGTTCTTGGCACTACCCCTTTACCTGAGAGCCTCTGGCTTCCCAACTGGAACAGGGAACTAATCCGGGCCCCCTACACTCCAGGGTGTCAGAGAATGAAGAGAGGGCGGCCAGGGCCGGGAGGGGCGGGTATGATCTACATCCAGAGCCCTCCACCGGCTCTGAGAACAAGGGCCAGGGTAATGTGCAGGTTGTGAGCCCGGGCAAGGGTCTAATCCCTGTCCCTAGGACACTCCCTCCGTTGTGGCTGACACAGCCGAGTCCTGGACAGCATGTTTATGCAGTGGGCTCCAAGTATCAGCTGTGGGCCGAGCCAGCCTTTTAAAAATAATGGCCCCAACATTTATCAGCTGTGACTTAACTTCTTGGTGCCTCAGTTCCCTATCTGTAAAGTGCAGATGATAAACCAACCTCCAGAGTGACCCTGAGGTTAACTGTGAAGAGTGCTAAGTACAAATGGGAAGCGCTCAATGAATGTTGGTTGGCTATTTATATTAAGCTGAGAGCTGAGCGCACAGTACTTGGTGATTCAGAGCACCTTTTGTGGAACAGCCTTTCAGAGCCAGCGAAGAAATGCCTGCTTTCTCAATTTGGGGAGGGGGCTGTCCCCCAAGGGGGTGTCACTGCTGATGTCTGCCATCCCCAGGTTTTCTCCTGGGCAGGGTCTCCGGGGAAGGCTGGGTAGCACTGCCCCCTGCGGTAGGCATGGGTAACTTCAGAGCCATTTGGGTGGGAATGGTCCCGGGAGGCCTGATTCCGACCCCCCCGCCGCCATCTTGTCTCAACCCCACAGATCTACCGGAGGTGCTGGCTGGTGTTCCGGAAATCCTCCAGCAAGGGGCCCCAGCGGCTGGAGAAGTATCCGGATGAGAAGTCAGTGTGCCTCCGAGGCTGCCCCAAGGTTAGGGGGGCCTGAGCCCTAGCTCCCCCAGTCTGTAAGCAGTGATGATTTGCTGCATGCTGAGGTCCGCGAGCACCCTCCTGGGGGTGGCACAACTGGGGAGGGATGTAGAGGGTGGCGCTCCTGCATGGCTCAGTCCCTTGTGGACGCTGTCCCAGGTGACCGAGATCAGCAACGTCAAGTGTGTCACGCGGCTCCCCAAGGAGACCAAGAGGCAGGCGGTGGCCATCATATTCACTGACGACTCGGCGCGTACCTTCACCTGCGACTCAGGTGAGGAGCTGGGGCTGTGGGCTTCCATCCAGCCTCCCCCGGGGCCAGTCATGGTCCAATTGGGAGGAGGCAGAGCAGGAGCAGCCCTGGTATGATGTGTGGGGGTGAAAGGAGTGGGGGGGCCTTTGAGGGAGCAGGTCCCCAGGATGAGGTGGGACAGGCAGGCAGGATCCACTGGCCTTGCCCTCCCTGCCTTGCATGGTGGGAATACTTTAAGCTGAGGCAGATGGGGTGGGCTGCTGGGGGACCCTGGGCTGGCACGAGCTACCGCTTTCTCTAGAGCTGGAGGCGGAGGAATGGTACAAGACGCTGTCCGTGGAGTGTCTGGGTTCGCGACTCAACGACATCAGTCTGGGCGAGCCAGACCTCCTGGCCCCAGGAGTGCAGTGTGAGCAGACAGGTGAGGCCTGGCGCTGGCAAGGGGCGGGTGGCGGGGGGGGGGAGTCCTCCCCTGGGGAGGCTCCAGGCCCACTCCTCCCTCACTGCAGACCGCTTCAACGTCTTCCTGCTGCCCTGCCCCAACCTGGATGTGTATGGCGAGTGCAAGCTGCAGATCACCCACGAGAACATCTACCTCTGGGACATACACAACCCCCGCGTGAAGCTCGTCTCGTGGCCCCTGTGCTCACTGCGCCGCTACGGCCGGGATGCCACACGCTTTACCTTTGAGGCTGGCCGGTAGGACCCTCTCACCTCCCTGCCCTGACCCACCGTGGGCCTGTTGGCCGCCATTCACGCTGTCACGCACGGGACTGGGAGCTTTAGTTATTTATCAGCACAGAAAACCAGAAGGGAATGTAAGATACCCATTTTACAGATGAAGACGTCGAGGCTCACGCAGGCAGCCAGGGCACAGCTGTTTACCAAAGTCAAGCTGCTTGGGCTCAAGTCAGAGCGGGTGCCGGGGCTTACAGTTGTGTCAGTGGGCAGAGGCTTCGTTTCTTCAAATAGGAAATCAGAAAAGTACGCCCCCTTGTAGAATTACAGTGAGGACTGGGCATCCTCTAGCGAGCGGGCCTCGACCTGCACTCTGTGGAATCCTCTGTATGACCTGGGCTTGGTTACTGACTGCCTGCGTGCCTATTTCCTCATCTGCAAACTGGTTCTAGAAAGCTCAGACGGTGGAAGGCTAACGGTGCGCAGACCAGAGGGGCGAGAGAGAAGACCGAGTGGGCGGGTTCTTGTCAAGCCCTGAGCTCACCTGGTACCCAGAAACGGCCCGGCACGTCTGGGCTGTGTGCACAGCCCTCCGGCCGCCAGCCCTGCCTGTTCCCCAGAGGGCCCGGGGTGTGGTCCCCAACACCTTGCCCTCTGTGCCTTTCGCATGCCTAGGATGTGCGATGCTGGGGAAGGGCTCTACACCTTCCAGACCCAGGAAGGGGAACAGATTTACCAGCGGGTCCACAGTGCCACCCTGGCCATCGCTGAGCAACACAAGCGCGTGCTGCTGGAGATGGAGAAGAACGTGCGGGTGAGGCTCTGGGCATCAGCCAGTCCAGGGTGCCGGGGAAGCCAGGGGGCGGGCGGGGCGCGTTGGGTGGACAGCTGGGAGGAAACCACAGCCCCCAGAGCTGAAGGGAGGGACTCCCTGCCCGCTCTGCCCCGCAGCTGCTCAACAAGGGCGCGGAACATTACTCGTACCCCTGCACGCCCACCACCATGCTGCCCCGCAGCGCCTACTGGCACCACATCACAGGCTCCCAGAACATTGCTGAGGCCTCCAGCTATGCCGGTGAGTCCCCGCGGTGACCCCCGCTCCCCTGCCATGGGGCTGTGGAGGACAAGGCCTTCCGCGCAGGGATTCTTGGACCTGCCCGAGGCCTGAGCCTGCCTCTGTGTCCACAGGTGAGGGGTACGGGGCAGCCCAGGCCAGCTCAGAGACAGACCTCCTCAACCAATTCATCCTGCTAAAGCCAAAGCCCAGCCAAGGGGACAGCAGCGAGGCCAAGACCCCAGCCCAGTGACAGCGGGGCTGGTGCACTGCAGGACCGCCCACGGCGTACCGTGGACAGCCTCTGGGGGCTGCCAGCCCAGAGCCTGGAGAAACGGAGCAAGCTGTCCCTTCCTTGCCCCCAAGGGTGAGCCTGGACCAAGGCACAGGGCTGGCCACAGCACCAGAGCATGTGAGGGCTGGAGCTACTGTGGGACTGTATACTGTTAAGGATTTTAATATATATGGCTTATGACATATTCTATATTAATGAGATTTCCCCCTCCCTCCCCATCACATACACAGTTTTTAATCCCATGACCAGGTCCCAGTCGAGGCTGTTTTTGAATGTGAGGGCAGCTGTCCCGTCCTCTGTGGGGCAGCCCTCCTGCTGCCAGGACGGGCTGGAGCTGCCGGGGCCAGAGGCGGAGACAGCTTGAGGCTGGCGCTGGGACTGCTGGCTCTCCCCGAGCAACCCAGGGGCTAAGACAGCAAGTGGCTCCTCCGTTCCTCTGGGCCTTGTGTGGCACGGGAAGGACCTGAGCTTCCACGGTGCCACTTTGCAACCTTGCACTTGAGAGCTTTAAGCAGAGGTGACTGCTGGTTGACACCTCAGGTGAAAATCTGGTTTTAAAATGTAATTTCTGCCTAGGCTCCTTCCTGCTTCATAGGCTGAGAAGATACCCCAAGGGCAGGGGTGCTGGTTCCCTCAGCGAGACATGGAGGGTGGCCAGTCCCGAGCTCTTCCCTGCCGAAGGGCAGGCTGTGGCAGGACTGCTGTGGGGAGCAGGACTGCTGTGGGGAGCAGGACTGCTGTGGGGAGCAGGACTGCTGTGGGGAGCACCCCTGCTGCCGCCGCCCCCCCCCCCATGACCGAGGGTAGGTGATGTCCCAGCAGAGGGAAGCCCCTCTGCCCAGGGCAGCCCCCCTCTGGCCAGCCAAAAGCACTCAGAAACCAAGCCCTTCCCCTTTCCTCTTCCCCACATGGTGCTGAGGCTCCCTGCTGAAATGCAATTAAAGCAATTGATTTTCTAGTGCTGGTATTTATTGACTACCTTGCAGAAGGGCTATCTTTCTATTCCCATCAAACCTTGGGTTGCGTGTGTGGGTTTTTTTTTTTTTTTAACTTTAGGGTTCTGATTTGTGGGAACAGACCTTGTTGTAAATAACCACTATTCAAGTTGTGACAGGAGGATCCAGCCAGAGGCCCCTCCCAGAGAGCCCTGGATCCGGGGAGGGGGCCACAGCCAGCTCAGCTCCAAACCTGACCCAGGGACTGACCACCCAGAGGAATAAACTAAAGATGGGAGCCTGGGGCCAAAGGCCTTGGAGAGGGAGGCAGGACTGGGCTGGCTCAAGTTAGTGGCACGATGACGCATGAAGGAGATGATGTTGTGCTCTTTATTGCCAAAAATAAAAACTTTTAAAAAGACAGCTCCTGTTAATAAATATCCCTTCCTTTCTGCACCAGAGCTCTGGTTTTCTCCTGGCTTCTCCTACCAGACTGCCTAATCAACTGCTTTGGGCATGACTCTACTTCTAGGGGTAAGGGGTCAAGGCCAGACCTTCATTAAGGCCCTTGCTCCCCACCCCCCAATCTTAAATAATCAGGCCACTGGCAGTGAAGTCTGAAAAACGGGGTTTATCTGGGGTGGGGGGCAGCCAATGTCTAACACTATTCTCTAAGGGTTCTCAACTTAGGGACACTCGAGGATTTGAGTGAAGTGCCAGTAGGCTGGCTCTGGGCAGGGGCTGGAAGGGTTTGTAGGCAACCAGAATGGGGGTTCTAGTACTCACCAGAAGCCCAACGTACAACTGTGAGAACTTTTGGACAGAAAGAGTTTTGAGACCTGAACTGACCAGTAGAGGAGAGTTCAGCTCTGCAGTTCTCACCCCGCCCAGGCACATCAGGAAACGGGCTGGAAGGGATGTTCTGGGGGTACTACTGGCAATCAGGGGGCAGGGCCAGGGATCCTAGATGTCTAGTAAAAAACTGTCCTGCCTCAGATACCAGTGGCGCCCCTGGCCATCTGTCTGCAACGAAGCAAGGCTGGAAGGGGACTCGTCTTCCCCTTGGCTACCTTCCTAGGGGGTACTGATGGCTTGCCAAGAAGCCTGAGCAACAGCTGTCTAGACCCAGAAGCTACAAGAGGCTCTGAAGAGACCAGAGAGCCAGCTGCTGGCCTAGACTCCCCCCCACCCCTTTTTTGCCGAAACAGGTGAGCTGCCGCTAGTTTATGGTTAGGACATCACTCTGGATCTCATGGCTTAACTGGGTCTGTAAATCACTCAGCTTCTTCTTCAATCCAGAGAGGGCTGAGAGGACAATTGTTTCGGGACGCAGAGAGCCACAGGACTCCACGTTGTAGTAAAACCTAAGAGGAAGAGTCGGGTGAGAGCCCTCCACGAAGCAGGCTCACTAGCCCGAGCTTCAGCCCGGGATCATGCACTCTCCCTTCTGGGTCCTGACTCCCTTCCCACCTGGAACTCAGCTACCAGCGGTCCTGCTGCACATTACAGGACTTCAAGGCCACAGCCACCTCAAAAAGCTTCATGTTCATCATCAGAAGACTGGTCCATTTCTGGCTCTGGCCTGGTCCCCTTCTCTGGGGGTTGAGTATCAACAGTAGGAACAGAGTGGCTAACCGGAGGGCTCCTCTGTCCCCCAATAACTAGGGGAGGATAATCTGCCCTGGGACGTGCACGTGGCATGGGCTCCACTGTTCTCCATCCTTCCTGAGCTCACGGGCACTGGGACGTGAGAGAAGGGTCTCCCCAACTCAGAACCTGCACCAAAACCCTATGTTCTTCCACGCTTCACCTTCAGGTACCGGACGAGGGTCTTACCTCTCTGGCTTGCCGTTGGGGTCGTAGGGAGCCTGGGACTCATCTTCATCCAGCTCAGAGTACTCACTCTTTGGCCTGAGGTCAAATACAAGTCAGCACAGGCAGCTACCGCTGCTGTCCACAGGGAGCCTGCCCCCACCAACCCACCCTAAAGGCCTGCCTTTACTCCGACAAGAACATACCATTCCTCGGGCTTGGGGTACACTGTGTGCCTCAGGGCATTGTCAGGATCATATTCAAAAGCCACACCTGCAGTAGGGTTCCACTTGGCATGCTCCTTGCCAAAGCCCTTTTTGGCATAGGCTCGAAGTCTTAGCTCCTGGCCTTTCCTCAGCTTGACAATAAGGATGTCTGCAGGGAGAGGTTTAAGTCGGTCAAGGGGCGGTAGAGACACGGTCCCCTGAATTTTGACCTGGAGGTCCCACACGATCTGGACAGACAGTTCAAAGGTCAGCTGACAAGGGGAGCAGGCGGCACGAGAGGCTCGTGCTGGGTCTCGGCCTCCGTGCTGGCCTGCAAAACGACAGGGCAGGCAGATGCACGCGCACGTTCTCCAGCCCCTTACCGTCCTGTTCCACGTAGTCATTGGGGTCATTATCTCGGTTCCGGGAGGTCACCTGCAGGGAGCCCAAACAGAGGCATGTATGAGCTGTTGGTCTCCCCAGTCACCTCTTCCAGCAACTATGTTCCAGCACCTGCCAAACCTGGGAATGAAGGGAGAGAAGTGCCTCCTAGGACCTCATGGGGACCGCCTTCTCAGAACAGTACCATGGCCTTTAAAAGGGTCCTTGGGTGACAGAGGACGGGCACACAGCACCGACCGTGTTCCTGTCCACCCTGGCTAGTGTCCAGGATTATCAGCACTTCTTAGGCACCAGACACAGGAAGGCAGAGGGTAACACAAGGAATATCCGCATCTTGTAACAAACCACCCAAATCTAGCCCACTTTGAGAGAAAAGGAGGACGATGAGGGTCCCGGGGAAGGAGGATGGGCTGAGACACTGACTGGAATGACCCGGGGGCTGTTGGAGATGAGGTCTCGAGACGTGACATGACGAGTTTGGTCTTCGTTACAGCGCACGTCAAGGGTGAACTCCACCGAGCACTCGGGGCAGAACTCCTCACACGTGCAGTCCTGACAGAGGAAGAGAAGGAGGAATGAGTCCATGGAGAGATGGCAAATGCTAAGCTCCCTGTTTCTCATACCCCGTTCCTTCCGTTTTTCCAGCTGTAAAACAGCCGGCCACAGGCTCTAGGCACTGGGGGGCCGTGTCCATCTGGTACATCGTTCTCACGGGCTGCCCACTGCAGGCACTTCCCAGATTAGAGACAACCTATACCCACTGGCCCCCAAGTTTTCCTTCCACCTCCGCCAGCTACCAGACCACACTGCAGGGAGATGCTGTGCTAACATCCCACTCTGGCCCTTGGGGTGCTCTTCTGCCAAGAACCAAGGTGTTAAGTAAGAGAATGATGCTTTCATGCTTTATAGGGCAGCCTCCCCTGAACTAAGTGGACTAGCTTGGGAAGGTCACCATCGTTTAAAATAAAATGATCCAGGGGCGCCTGGGTGGCTCAGATGGATAAGCGTCTGCCTTTGGCTCAGGTCATGATCCCAGGGTCCTGGGATCGAGCCCCACATCGGGCTCCTGGCTCAGCGGGGAGTCTGCTTCTCCCTCTCCCTCTGCTTCTCTCCCTGCTCATGCTCTCTGTGTCTCAAATGAATAAAATCTTTGAAAAAAATAAAATAAAATAAAATGATCCAGGGCACAACTCAAAAAAGTACCCTTCAAGTTCTAGACTACTTACCTTTTCTTAAAAACAAAATCTTTCCATTATGGAAAATTTCATATATTCACAAGAGCAGAGCAAGTATAAGAGGCTGCTACCATGTAACCATCACTCGGCTTCAATAATCATCAATAGTTCTTTAAGCAACTGATGCTGCAAACAACCCATTAGGGACCATCTGCTACAGTGTAACTTCAGACAAGAAGAGTTACTGGAATGTAACCAAGCAAACTGTTCTCCCGATCACACCAGCAGGAAAATCTAACCTGCTTCTGATGTTTTTGAAATGATGAGAAAGAACAAGGGGCCACACCTGGATCGTCTGCAGTCATACACAGGTGAGGCAGGAAGGTAACGTAGAGCTTTAGCAGAAATATGAAATGGAAGGGGGCACCTGGCTGGCTCAGTCCGTGAAGCATGCGA